TAGATTAAGAAAAGAAAATTCCTGCACACTGTGTCCTGTTACTTGCAATATAATAAGGTCTGAAGACTGAAACGTTGTGTGCTTACTAAACTTTATTGCAAGCAACAAGACAGTGTGCAGGAACTCTCTTTTCTTCACCCTATGGACAACTTCCTCCTACGCTCTTGTCTACAATTGCCTCCACATTCTGAGGCTTTATAAGTTAATTTGACTCAGTTGGCCTTTAGTCAGTGAAACATGTGATCACTGTGTGACCATTAGTGTCACCAAGTGTTGTGGCTGCCTTATTTGGGTCATGAAATTAAAGGATTATGTGCAAAAAACAGGGTTACAATCCATACACTGTTCACCCTACATGACTGTAAACACATGATGCAAGTCAGCACTTTAACCTCCGTGTTGCATGTCAGATCTGCTGTGCTGAAGTACAGGCTCAATACAGTTAAAAAATATATCACAGTTCAAACACCTCCACAATAACAACTGGTGAATGTTGTTCCTCCTGCTGTTGTCAGACTGAAACTGCAGTGTGTCCTGTACCGAGCTCATTATGGAAAGTCGACCCAGTCACAATTTGTCTACTTTTCACTGTCATCTGATGTTTTAATATACCATTGTTTCATATTGCCAGCTGGTACTTAAATATGCTGTTGCAAACTATACTTAGTGTTTGTCAACACCGCTCCATGTGATGTCAGAATAGAATATAAAGCCTTTATTGTCACTGTACAAAGAATATACAACAGGATTAGGAGTGCTATATCTGATCAGGTGCCAACAAGTAGACAACAACATTGTCATTAATAAAATTGGAAATACATAGTGTAAAAAAAATGGCTGCATCAAGCTGTTGTACATGTAAAATAAATAGTGGATTATACTTATTAAATGGAGTATAGCTCTAAGAAGTAGTTTGTTGCACTATTTAAAAAATACTGGATTGCACCTTAGGAGCAAAATTATTTCATATGTATAGATTTACTCATTTTTTGCTTCTTCAATTGGCTCCAACGTTAACATGCCCCCTTGCTAATCACTGGTTAGACACTGTGAGCAAAACTGTATTGAAAGATACCCATCTAGCACCTGTTCTTGTCAAAGTTGACTCCAACACATCCGATCCCATGTTGCCCTCCAGTAACTGCAATCATTAATTGTCTGTTTGCAGTGCAAAATAAAGCTTCTCCTGGACATGTTCACCCTCAATGCTGCCAGCTGAATATTTGTGTTATTTAAGTTTACTCTACTAACACAAAGAATTAAAAGAATATGGGAAGAGTAGTAATGTTAATTATTAAAGTTGCAGGCATAACACCCTACACTGGTTTAGGTGTGTAAGGATGGTGTTCAAGACACACAGGTGGAGGCACATGGAGCAGCGTTCACAAATGCTGACTGTCATTGGCAAAGGGAAAAAGTAGGAGGTGAAAAAAGAATAAACATTTTGACCCAATCAGCTTTCCATACTCATCTGGAGTTAATCCCAGGATTTGTGTACGCCCCTAAGACAGGCAGATGGATCAAGCTCGTCACAATAAATTTCATTTCCTGTGGCAACTTCCAAAATAAAACGTGGTTACAATAAATATTAAACAGACTGAATGTAAAGCAGGAGACTCAAAAGAAATATCTTCAAATTAGCTACACTACATTTATTTGACAACATTAGCTGATAATTACTTTATAGATTTAAGTTAAAAACAAAAAATATACACCAATTATCTGGACAAAGATAAGATTTTATTGATTAATTTGTAAGATTCACATTCTACCCAGTAGTGCGTGTATGTACACTGCCTGGCCAAAAAAAAAAGTCGCCACCTGGATTTAACTAAGCAAATAGGTACGAGCCTCCTATTGGATAATTACTGCATGGGCGATTATCTTTCAGCTGGCAACAAGTTATTTAACCCCAACTGGTGCAATGAGTTGTTTCTCATTTTCTAAACAACCATGTCGAAAGACACATCCCGTGGTCGTGGAAAAGATGTTAGTCTGTTTGAGAAGGGTCAAATCATTGGCATGCATCAAGCAGAGAAAACATCTAAGGAGATTGCAGAAACTACTAAAATTGGGTTAAGAACTGTCCAACGCATTATTAAAAACTGGAAGGATAGTGGGGACCCATCGTCTTCGAGGAAGAAATGTGGCCGGAAAAAAATCCTCAATGATTGTGATCGGCGATCACTTAAACGTTTGGTGAGATCAAATTGAAGAAAAACAACAGTAGAACTCAGGGCTATGTTTAATAGTGAAAGTAAGAGCATTTCCACATGCACAATGCGAAGGGAACTCAAGGGATTGGGACTGAACAGCTGTGTAGCCTTAAGAAAACCACTAATCAGTGAGGCTAACCGGAAAAAAAGGCTTCAATTTGCTAGGGAGCATAAAGATTGGACTCTGAAGCAATGGAAGAAGGTCATGTGGTCTGATGAGTCCAGATTTACCCTGTTCCAGAGTGATGGGTGCATCAGGGTAAGAAGAGAGGCAGATGAAGTGATGCACCCATCATGCCTAGTGCCTACTGTACAAGCCTGTGGGGGCAGTGTTATGATCTGGGGTTGCTGCAGTTGGTCAGGTCTAGGTTCAGCAACAGTATGTGCTCAAAGAATGAGGTCAGCTGACTACCTGAATATACTGAATGACCAGGTTATTCCATCAATGGGTTTTTTCTTCCCTGATGGCACGGGCATATTCCAAGATGACAATGCCAGGATTCATCGGGCTCAAATTGTGAAAGACTGGTTCAGGGAGCATGAGACATCATTTCCACACATGGATTGGCCACCACAGAGTCCAGACCTTAACCCCATTGAGAATCTTTGGGATGTGCTGGAGAAGGCTTTGTGCAGCGGTCAGACTCTACCATCATCAATGCAAGATCTTGGTGAAAAATTAATGCAACACTGGATGGAAATAAATCTTGTGACATTGCAGAAGCTTATCGAAACAATGCCACAGCGAATACGTGCCGTAATCAAAGCTAAAGGCAGTCCAACGAAATATTAGAGTGTATGACCTTTTTTTTTGGTGGTGACTTTTTTTTGGCCAGGCAGTGTATGATGTACACCGATCAGCCAAAACATTAATACCACTAACAGACGAAGTGAATATCATTGATCACCTTGTTACAATAGAGTGTTTTACTGGAAAAAGTTGGGTCCTGAGATTTATGTTGATGCCACTTGATGCCCTCCACCTATCCAAACACTGCCACAGATGAAATACTCCCCATCATGGCAATAGTACTCCTCAGTGGCAGTGCGCCCCCTAGCAGTACAGCGCACCATGCCACATGGCAAGAACTGTCCAGGAATGGCCCGAGGAACATGACAAAGAGCTCAAGGCATCGGACAGGCCTCAAAATTCCCCAGATCCCCATCTGATCGAACATTTGCGGGATGTGCAGGTTTCTCAGCGGTACCCCAGATCCATACTGGGGCCTCCTTTAATCTGACTTGGCCTTGACTTTTAGGGACATAACCCTAGGACCTCTGGGGAGAGTCCTGTAGTGTCTGGCACCGGGGTGTTGGCGGCCGATCTGTGAGTGCTGTGGGTTGTGAAGTGGGGTACCAGATGCTCGCGCAGAATGAGATCTGGGAAATTTGGAGGCCAGGTTGGAGCCTTGAGATCTTTATCACGTCACTCAGGCCATTCCTGAGCAGTGTTTATTGTGTGGCATGGTGCATCATTATCCTGCTGGGGGGGGGGGTCACTGCCATCGG